AAATGATAATTATCTGATTTCAAGCTGTTCCATGACTGTTCCACTGATATATTTCAAGAACCACTCATTGGATTTTGATGAAACTTGGCACATGGATGCTCTGAATCAATACGCACATTTGATAAGTTTTGGGTAAAAATCTATGAATATTAATTACCTAATTTGCATGATAATTAACTGATTTCAAGCTGTTCTATGACTGTTCCACTGATTTTTGATGAACCACTCATTGGATTTCAATGAAACTTGGCACATGGATGCTCTGAACTAATGCGCAGATTTGATTAGTTCGGGTAAAAATCTGTTAATATTATTAATTACCTAAATTACATAATGATTAATCAATTTTCGGCTTTTCCACTGATATCTCAAGTACTAATCATAACATTTCAATAAAACTTGGTACATAGATGTCATAGGACACTGCACAGACCTGATAGTTTTTAGGGTAATATCAGTACATATTAATTACCTAATTTGCATAATTAATTAATTTTCAGCTTTTGATATTTCGAGTAGTAATGATCACATTTCAATGAAACTTGGTACATAGTTACTTGAGGACTGTGCAGAGACCTAATTAGTTTTTGGGTAAATATTTTTGCATATTAATCACCTTATTAGCATGATTAGTTAATTTTCAGCTTTTCACCTGATATCTCAAGTACTAATCATCACATTTCAATGAGACTTGCGACATAGATTTGTTAGGACTATGCAGAGACCTGATTAATTTTGGGATAAATAATTGTGCCTATTAATTACCTAATTTGCATAATTAGTTAACTTTTTGCTGTTCCATGGCTGTTGCACTGATGTCTAAAGAACTACTCATTGGATTTTAATGACACTTTTAAAGAGTACTCATCATCACATTTCAATGAACCTAGGACTATACACCATATTAGTTTTTCATAAATATTTATGCTTCTTAATCACCTAATTAACATATTTAATTAATACTGATATCTCAAGTATTGATCATCACATTACGTCATCACATTACTTCTCCTACTGCACTGACAGAGCAACTGAGCGTGCTCAGAATAAATAATTAGCTCAGATTGTAATGCTAGGGTTTTTGACTCCCGTGTGCGAAGCACAAAAGGGAGTCTTTGCAGTTACCCTGTCTGTATGTCTGTCTGTATGTCTGTATGTATGTATGTATGTATGTATGTATGTATGTATGTATGTCACTTTTTTTGTTCCATCGTTATCTCAAAAACCACTAATCAGATTTTGGTGACACTTGGTACATAGATGCTCTGGGATAATCCGCAGAGTTGATTAGGTTTTGGTAAAAATCTATGAATGTTAATTACCTAATTTGCATAATAATTAGCTGATTTTTAGCTGTTCCAAGACTGTTCCACTGCTACCTGAAGAACCACTCATTGGATTTTGATGAAACTTGGCACATGGATGCTCTGATCTAGTGCACAGATTTGATTAGTTTTGGGTAAAAATCTGTTAATATTATTATTTACCTAATTTACATAATGATTAATCAATTTTCGGCTTTTCCACTGATATCTCAAGTACTAATCATAACATTTCAATAAAACTTGGTACATAGATGTCATATGACACTGCACAGACCTGATAGTTTTTAGGGTAATATCAGTACATATTAATTACCTAATTTGTATAATTAATTAATTTTCAGCTTTTGATATTTCGAGTAGTAATGATCACATTTCAATGAAACATGGTACATAGTTACTTGAGGACTGTGCAGAGACCTAATTAGTTTTTGGGTAAATATTTGTGCATATTAATCACCTTATTAGCATAATTAGTTAATTTTCAGCTTTTCACCTGATATCTCAAGTACTAATCATCACATTTCAATGAGACTTGCGACATAGATTTTTTAGGACTATGCAGAGACCTGATTAATTTTGGGATAAATAATTGTGTCTATTAATTACTTAATTTGCATAATTAGTTAACTTTTTGCTGTTCCATGGCTGTTGCACTGATGTCTAAAGAACCACTCATTGGATTTTAATGACACTTTTAAAGAGTACTCATCATCACATTTCAATGAACCTAGGACTATACACCATATTAGTTTTTGATAAATATTTATGCTTCTTAATCACCTAATTAACATATTTAATTAATACTGATATCTCAAGTATTGATCATCACATTTGAATAAAACTTGGTACATAAATGCTCTAGGACAATAGACAGCCTTATTAATTTTGGGTTAAAATCTGTTCATATTAATTCTCTAATTAGCATAATAATTAATATTTTTTTGGTTCTAATCACATTTCAATGAAACTTGGTACATTGTGCAGACCTTATTAGTTTTACACTTAAATCTGTTCATATTAGTTACCTTATTTGCATAATTAGTTTTCTGCGTTTCCATCAACATCTCAAGTTCAAGTAATTTTGAATTAATTTTTAATGTGTCTTCAATACTCTCAGCACACTGGAGTTCTTTCTAAGCTTTCTTTGATTAGTGATGTCATGACCTTGATCTGAATCAGTGACAGATGGGTTGTACCATTACCAATCTGAGTGGAAAATGTAGAGGGGTGTCAGGGCTAGATTTTTAATTATAGTGGTGATAATGAAACAAACCCAGGTCCTGGTAATATACAAAGACCTGAATTGACAAAGAAGTCAAGTGTCATAAAGGTACATCAAGGTTTACTCAGATTTATGAATGCAGTTTCTTGAACATGTATGAGACATAGTTTGGTTGCACTTGTGTACTCTGAGATTTTGGACCCGGGTCAATGAAAGTTTTCAGTTATCAGATTATTAAAGGGAAATTACTTTATGATGAGTTGTACCCACATAGAGTACATATTAATTCAATTGTTTGCAGATGTTCCATGTATTATTTTAATTAAATAACTGTGACATTCATGTCTTGTTAAATTTCTGTTGTATGTTGTGCATAAATTTTGTTGTGAAACACATTTGTACCAACCGTGGATACATTTATTTTATAGATTGGAATGTGACAGTTGTCGAAATGACCCCAAAAGATACCCGAAAGGCTCCTATGTGGATATTGAACACCATTTACTAAGACTAGCATTGGTAAGTTGCATTTCAGTGATTTCTACAACAATAAAGTCAAATTTCTGTGGATGACAGTGCATGAATACTGCACTATGGAGTACCGGGTAATCTCATGAACTGCGAAGGTACATAGAATTGGAACCAAATCCAGATGTTTTACTGAGAGAGATAATTGGTAGAATTTTCATGTTATTTTCTCAGATATTGCTATGTTGTTTCCTATGACTGCCTATTTTAAAGTCGAAGGAAAAACCCAAACTAGTTTAGAAATATGAACCTCAGTTTTCCATTCAAAAGGGTAGCTGAAGTGGGGGTACAGATCTCACACCTGAATTGAAGCTTTCATTGAAACACAAAATAATGAATTACTCGAAACAAATTCCATAATTTAGATATCTTATGTCTAAGAATTACTGACGCTATATTAACTCACTAGAACGATAGTCAGAGTTTTTGATTTCCACATTAGATCAGGTACAAGCCAGTTGTTTTACAATAACAATTAGTCAATTATGAGCATATCAGGAATGGGGGGGGGGATCTTTATTGACAGCCTGACACAAATGAAGTAAAATTTACAACACTGGGTCAAAAAAAAGTGTCAAGTTTCAATTCATCGTTACTTCAAAATATGGTTGTCCCTCTATCTATTTTGGGAGCGCGCAAAAAAAAAAAAAATACAAATTATTGCTACCCCAGAAATTAATTCACAAAGGAAAATACATTTTTTTAATATGCTCAGACACAAATTTAGATACAGGTGTGAAAACCTTAGCACTATGGTGAAATCACAAAGTCATAGTTTCTTTTTTACAATAGTCTTTTATATTTATGTGAAAAAACATTTTACTTTGCAAGCAATCTATAGTTTGTTTTCTTTAGATTCACACCTGTCCATTCAAACCAGTGTGTAGAACAAGCACACCACAATATGTACAAAATGTTTTTGTTTTTTTCACTACAGGTGAGTGAGATTTCCCCCAGAGCTAACTTGAAGTATTCTATTGAAGTTGAGAAGCCGCCAGAGATCAGACTCGCAGCTGAGGTTGGTAATAAACCCCTCAGTCTTATCAGCTTGCCCTGGGAGAAGCATTTCCAACAACTCAAAAACACTAAACCAGTAAGATCATAACAATCACTCTCACTATCTTTACTCTCTGCTTATTAATCCATTTCTCTTTCTCTCTCTTTTTCTCTCAAGCATCATTATTTAGGTTTCACTCTTCTCTCATTGGGTGATTCTATTTTGCTATCAGGGATGCATGCTTGGTTAAAGTGGGTGATGTACTCATTTTACATTCACTTGTGCTAAAAAGACCTTTCTAGACTATGCATAGATACAGATTTTTTTTTTAGGATTTGGATTTCTTAACACAGAGTTTCCTAGTTTTCATCATGGAGAGTAATAAGTGTAAATTGTTTTCTGATTGACACAATTTCCTGCCCTGAAAAGTCAATTAAATCATCATGACTCTAATTCAGACTTTTGGAGTACTGTAAAATCTGTATTAGAAGCCGCAGCTTCTATTAAAATGGTACAATGCAACAGAGGGGATGCGGCTTTTATTAGAGCATCTACACATATGAGAAATGGTAAATTTTTGGTTCTCAATTGTTCAAAAATAATGGGTGCGGCTTCTATTAGGGATGCGGCTTCTAATAGAGATTTTACGGTAGAACATTGTATAAGTGTATAATTATCCCGCCAACGTTTTGATATCATTTTGTATTATTTTTCTGCATTTTTTTTTATAAGTATTGTTTTTTTTTATCAATTTTTGACCAAATACACCTAATATTTCGCATTGACTACAGGTCTTGTTAATTTTTTCTGAGAAATATGCAAAAAATTAAGCGTGAATTTTTTGTGAACGGCAACAAAATTTTACTTTGGCACTTAAAAAATGAATGAAACCTTATTTTAAATGGGATTGGATTAACAGGAAAATCTTGTTATTTGCGGGTTACAGTCCCTAAAGCTTCTATCAAGACTTAACTCTTATTTAACAATTACTTCATCATTTAAGCAGTAGTACAAGTGTGTTTTGCTGAATATTAAACATCTCATCTAAGGTTTGATAAATGATTGCCTGTCAAAAGAAATTTGAAATCAATGCACAATTACTTGCCCTCTGTCGATTCGAGAAATTAAGCAATCATTTTTTCTCCAACAAAGTTGAGGTGTTTTATGTTGAAATATGCATTTGCTCCAAGTAACAAAGGGTGTCTCTATCATCCAGCACGTTAACATTCTCACTAAGAGGTGGTGGAACTTAGATGTTGAATCTCTATTTCATACGCAATTCATGCTTCTCAGGTCATATCACATCACATACAGCCATTGGGATGTTCTGTCGTACATCCAGAAGAAACCATCGTCACTTAGTGATTTAATCGCTACATTTATATTTATTGCTGGCATTGCATTGTGGGTCAATCTTCCCCAAAAAGGGAAGCAATACCGGATGCAAACAATATCTGGCTTTTTAGCTCCGCTGTCGACACAGCGGAGCTGTTCATATTACTGATTGTCCGTCGTCGTCGTCCGTCGCCGTCAACTTTACAATTTCAACTTCTGCTTCAAAACCGCAAGTCCGAATGTTTTCAAATTTGATATGCATGTACCTTGGATGGTTCTTTCTCGGATTTGTTCATTTCATGTCAAAATCTCAAATTCTCTATTTTTGGTGAATATTTTTGTCATTTTTAGTAAAAAGTGATATTTTCGACTTCTTGAAAAAAAACGGCAAGTTCGATTGCTTTGATATTGTATATATAGGTACTACATGTGGACCTCTCTCAGATTTGTTCATTTCGTGACAATATCTTTAATTCTCTAGTTTCGATGAATATTTTTGTCATTTTTGGTAAAAAGTAATATTAAAAACAGCAAGTCTGATTGCTTTGATATTACATATATAGGTACTACATGTGGACCTCTCTCAGGTTTGTTCATTTTGTGATGATATCTTTAATTCTCTAATTTTGATGAATATTTTTGTCATTTTTGGTAAAAAGTGATATTTTCGACTTCTTGTTAAAAACCACAGGTCCGATTGCTTTGATACTACATGTATACATATTGTGAATTTTTAATGATATTTTCAGTTCTTAATTGAAATGTGCATTGCTAATAGCGGAGCTATCTCAGCTGACAGGCTGCTTGTTAAAGTATGTGCTGTGCATTTATGGATTAAGAAGAATATGCCAAGGTTAGATAATGAAATGAAGATCCTATTGAAATTGTTCACTTCAAATATGGATTTCATAGTTCCAAGCAGTTATCTAAACTGGTTCTAACTAATAGAATCACAGAATACCATGGATGCTTTCCCACAGCCATTGGTAAGGTTTGAAAATAAGAAATGAGTGATATGTGATTCTTTTCGAGATAACAAAAATATGTGCTACAAATATACATGAATGGAGATCAATCAAAGCCATTTCTTTCCCCAACTCACTTGCGTTTTTTTAATCGAAATGTGATTTCTTGCAATCAGTAGGATGTAGCTCATATCACAAAAGTTACAAAATCGTTGTCAGCTGGTATTGACCAATCAACTTTGACAGCTGGTATTGACCAATCATTGTCGACAGCTGGTATTGACCAATCATTGTCGACAGCTGGTATTGACCAATCATTGTCGACAGCTGGTATTGACCAATCATTGTCGACAGCTGGTATTGACCAATCATTGTCGACAGCTGGTATTGACCAATCATTGTCAACCTCTAGTATTGACCAATCATTGTCGACAGCTGGTATTGGCCAATCATTGTCGACAGCTGGTATTGACCAATCATTGTCGACAGCTGGTATTGACCAATCATTGTCGACAGCTGGTATTGACCAATCATTGTCGACAGCTGGTATTGACCAATCATTGTCGACAGCTGGTATTGACCAATCATTGTCAACCTCTAGTATTGACCAATCATTGTCGAAAAACTGGTATTGGCCAATAATTGTTGTCAGCTTGTATTGACCATTAATTGTTGACATCTGGTATTAGCCAATCAGTGTGGACACCAAGTCTGGTATTGGCCAATCATTGTGGACACCATGTCTGGTATTGGCCAATCATTGTGGACACCATGTTTGGTATTGGCCAATCATTGTGGACTGACAGTGTCTGGTATTGGCCAATCATTGTGGACACAGTGTCTGGTATTGGTCAATCATTGTGGACACCATGTCTGGTATTGGCTAATCATAATTGACACAGTGTCTGGTATTGACCAATCATAGTTGACACCATGTCTGGTATTGACTACTCATTGTACAGCTGGTGTATATCATTTAATCTAATGTTACTTAGTATGTAATGTTTACTGAATATTTAGTCCCCGTTCGGACGTAGTCCGAAAACGGGGACTTATGTTTTGCCCTGTGTGTGTGCGTGCGTCCGTGCGTCCGTGATCACCTGTATCTCAAACATGCATGGACTGATTAAGTTCAAACTTCACTCATACATCACACATTATATGGGACATATGCACATGCATTTTTTTCATGATCCGATTAACGATAGCCGAATAGCGACCATTTTAAGGCCGAAAATGCATCAAAATCACACATTTTCACCATTCCGGACCCGGATCTCAGTTATGCATGGACGGATTTCGTTCAAATTTGGTACATACATTAAACATAATGTGACCTTGATGCACATCATTTTTCTTGGGGGGGATCGGGTTTGAAATGGCCGACTGGCGGCCATTTTGTTTTAAAGAATTCAGTTCTGGATCCGTATCTGAGACATGCTTGGATTGATCGAGTTCAAACTTCACACACACAAGGTACATCATGTCACAAATATGTATGTGCATTTGTTTCATGATCTCATTAACGATAGCCAAATGGCGGCCGCTTTAAGGCCGAGAATGCATTGAAATCGCACATTTTCACCATTCCGGAACCGGATCTCAGTTATGCATGGACGGATTTCAGTCAAATTTGGTACATACATTAAACATAATAGGACCTTGATGCACGTCATTTTTTTTTCCGGATCAAGTTCGAAATGGCCGACTGGCGGCCATTTTCTTAAAGAATTCAGTTCTGGATCCGTATCCAAGACATGTCTGGATTGATCAAGTTCAAACATCACACACACATGGTGCATCATGTCACAAATAGATATGTGCATTTGTTTCATGATCCGCTTAACAATAGCTGAATGATGGCCATTTTAAGACCGAAAATGCATTAAAATCACGTATTTTCACAATTCCGGAACCAGATCTCAGTCATGCATGGATGGATGGATTTTGTTCAGATTTAGTACAATGTGTTGTACATATGCAGGTGCATTTCGGTCATGATCTGCTTTGAATGTATATGTCACTCAAATATGAACGGAACGGGGACGTGTCATTGACAATGACTTGTTTTCACATGTCCTTACTACCGGTAGTTTCTCAGCAAGTAATGACTAACTTGTATTTTGAAAGCTGCCACAAACATTGCATCATGAGCCATACACCATGTATATGTATTTGAGGTTTGACTGACTGACTGACTGATGGCTATTTGTGTTTGCTACCAATTCTTGGAATGTGTGTAATTGCTGTTCAAATAAAATTGTATGAATCACCTATACTCCACTATATATGCATACAAATAATATGCAACTTCCAATAGCATTGATGTGGCCTTCAACACAACATACAAGCTGTGATACCCCCTCCCCCCCCCTGCTTATAACATGTTCACAAAAATCCTGCTTTGATGGACCATGTCATCGATGACTAACCACTTGTTGATTTAACTTGCATTCAATTTGACACAACTTTTGATGGGTATGGTATTTTTAGATTTTGGCACCCAGACCACCGTCTGCGAGAAGTAATGTACCCGGACCAGCATTTAGAACTACCATGTTTAGACGGGATCAAGTGCAGGCAGTGGCAAGGAGACAGCAGTTGAAACGGCGTGGTAGTAATTCATCCCTTGATGAAGAAATTATTAAAGCTGTTGGGAAGACTCACAGGTGAGTAATGTTCTGAGTTCTCCACTATCACGTCTTATTGTTTTCTCATCAACTATTTTTTTCTGCAGGCCTATCAATTAATGTGCAAGTCAAATTAAATGTATTATAAGTTTAGATGGATTATTTGTTTGTAAGCTAGTCAACAAATTTGCAGTTGCAGGTGCATTTCAATTCAATCTGCAGCTTTAAGTGCTAGACTCAAGTATAAAATATTTCATAATTTTGCTGGACCTCTTTGTGAATTTATGCATATTAGAACATAATTAAAAAGTTTACGCTTCCTTTCAACTTCCTAGTACATGTGCCAGCTAAAATTGACTATAAATACATCAATGTTAAAAATTAAAAAAATAGCAGAATTCAATTTGCTGAAAAACAAATGTTCATCCACTGACGTCATAGTTATTTTTATGCACTCCTGTTCACAGGCAAGGGAGTGGCTCAATAAGGGTACACAACATCTGGTTATAAAAGCATAAGTACATGAAATTGTAAATGGGAAGCCACTACCGGTACTATGGGCAACATGCTTAAAATCATTGAATTTTCACTGATATGTACTTTGTATTTGATTTGGAGAAGAGTTCATAGAGTCTGCATTTATATATGATTACATATTTTTGACCCTTATTATTTTACTAATAGTGATACAGAGCAAGTAGCAACCCAGGGCCATGCTTCTCCAGAGGGCAGCAGTCATGCTGTTGACACTGGAAGCAAACAACAAAAAATCCATGAAACAGAGGAACCAGAAGTTTTATCATTTGAGAGGCCACTAACAGAAGAGGGAAGATCAAGACTTGATGCTGTTAGGTCAGTCACGTCAGTGACATTTAAACTAGATAATATATCACAGGCACCATCCAGAGCTGGCTCTGCTGGCTCCAGAGTTCCATCCGCAAGAACTGCTACTCCAGCATCATCTGCATTTTCTCTGAGGCCAGATCCTAATATCGTGTTAACACATCTGAAAACGAATATTTACGATGACACAGGTAGGTACACTATTTATATTTGTTAAAGACAATTACAGTATTGGTTAAAGAGTTATCATTCGATTTCAGTGGGTTCAATCTCCATTTTTATATTTTTTGCCAGAACCAGATAATGATGACGCCATTTATCACTTGAAGAGAATGCGTACAAAACTGGGACTGGTGACTGAGTTGCCCCATTATGGTGCATCCATTAAAGAACAAATGGATGGAATCGAAGATAGATTAGCAGATCCTTTGAAGGTAAATCACAAAGTATCAGTATTTGGATTATATTTCTGTGTATATTATTATCTCATGTGTGTATTGCACATATGGTGGCTTTACATTTTTACTCATTGTATGAGTTCAGCTTGTATGTCAAAGAGGGTGTCTACTTGACCAATATCTTAAGATTCATTATTTGAAAGCAAATTTACATTAATTTTAATAACTTCATTACATGCTTTCGGATAATATACACAAATTTTACTATTCAAATAATGACATACATCAACAGTTAAAATTAAATTTGTTAATTGTTGTTTGCTAGTAACTGTCTGTCTGACCATTACCACTTGTACAGTAACTGTACAGTACACACCCGACTGTAAAATACTGAATCATCACTCAAATTTGTGTGAAAGTGAAGACATGTAAAAATAACAAGAACTTTGGTGAGTGTGGATTTCAATTTCAAAATTTAGTAATTTCAAATTAATCGTTTTTATTTTCAACTTTCAGTACATGATGGAAGATCATGTTGATAATGGCGAGTTTCTGTATGCGTTGCCAAGAAACAGGGCTGATACAAGGGGACGTTACAATCGTTATGATCTTCAGGTTGTCTCACCTCATGTAGCTAAATCAGCAAAGGGGTATTTTACACTCAGCGCACATGGTGTGACAATGGTGAGTTATTTTTAGTCCCCGTTCGGGCGCAGTCCGAAAACGGGGACTTATGTTTTGACCTCCGTGCGTGCGTGCGTCTGTGCGTGCGTCCGGACATGTATCTTAGAAATGCCTGGATCAATCACAATCAAACTTCACACATACATCATACATGATATTATACATATGCACGTCAATTTGTTTCACGATCTGATTTAAGATGGCGGAATGGCGGCCATTTTTGTGTTAAAAATCATCAAAATCAAGCATTTCCCAGCTGTTTATAGATGGATTTTGTTCAAACCTTGTATATACGTTGGACATTATAGGACCTTGATGCACAACATGTTGTTTTACGATCTGATTTAAGATGGCCGAATGGTGTCCATTTTTGTGCTGAAAAATCCTAAAAATCCAGCATTTCTCGGCTGTTTACAGATGGACTTTGTTCAAACTTTATATATACATTAGACATTATGGGCCCTTCATGCAAATAATTTTGTTTTTCAGATAAGATTCAAAATGGCCGGCTGGCGGCCATTTTGTTTTAATGAATGTGGTTCTCGTGCCATATCTCTGACTTGTTTTGACTGATTATGTTCAAATTTTAAATATTCATTATACATCATGTCATAGATAAACAGATATATTGGTTCGACGATCATATTCAAAATGGCCGAATAGTGGTCATTTTTGTGCTAAAAAATCATCAAATATCAAGCATTTATGGCATTTATGGATGGATTTCAGTCAAACTTGGTACATACATTAGACATTACTGGTTCCTGATGCACGTCATTTTATTTGTCAAGATTGGATTCAAAATGGCTGACTGGCAGCCATTTTGTTTTAATGATTGTG